CTATCCCCTCCTCCCACCTCAAGCCGCACCTCCATCTCCTACCGACCAACCTCATCCCGCCCCCTTGACCTGTCCGTCCTCCCTGGACTGACCTATCCCCTTCCTAACTCCCTACCTACACTCACCTTTACTGGCTCCATCCCCGCCTCTTCGACCTGTTTGTTTCCTCTCCACCTATCCTCTCCTCTATCCCTCTTCTATCCGCCTCCCACTCTCTCCCTATTTATTTCAAAACCCCCTTCCCCTCCCCCTTTTCTGATGAAGGGTCTCGGCCCGAAACGTCAGCCTCTCTGCTCCTATGATGCTGCTTGGCCTGCTGTGTTCATCCAGCCCTGAACCTTGTTGTCTCTTTTACCTCCCTCCCTGTTTCTGTTGAAACATCTATACCCCGGAACATCCAACAACCATTCCTGCCCCTGTGTTATCCGAGTCTCCGTAATGGCCACAAAATCGTAGTTCCAAGTACTGATCCATGCTCTAAGTTTGTCACCCTTATTCCTGACACTTCTTGCATTGAAGTAGACACACCTTAACCCATCGCACTGATTGTCCCTTTGCCCTGTTGACTGCTTATCCTTCCTCATAAACTTTCTGTTTACTCTATCTGTCTGTACACTGGCTACCCAATCCTCTGATCTGTCGCTCCCATTCCCATTCCCCTGCCAAATTTATTCTCTAACCTTCTGATCTCCAAATCCTTTCTCACTAATGTTCTTATGTCATCGTTCACTATCATATTTAATCCTTGTAAATTCCATTTGGCTCACTTTTTTCCAAGTGCTACGTATCATGGAATATTTCGTTCCCAATCTCAGATAGGCACCTTTGATGTTTCCATAGAATTTAATAGAATCCCCATAGTGTTGAAAAAGGCGCTTCAGCCCAACAAGTCCACACTGACTCTCAGAGAATCCCACCCAGACCCATCCTTCTATAACCCACCTAATCTACACATCCCTGAACACATTGGGCAAATTAGCATGGCCAATGCACCTAGTCTGCATATTTTTTGGACTGTGGGAGGAAACCAGAGTATCCAGTGGAAACCCATGCAGACACGGGGAGAATGTATAAATTCTACACAGACAGTCGCCCAAGGGTGAATTCGAACCCACGTTCTTGGCGCTGTGAGGCAGCAGTGCTCACCACTGAGCTACCTCTACAATGCCAAAAGAGGACATTTGGCCCATCGAGTCAAGACTGACTCTTTGAAGACCTTCCTCCCCATTGGATATTTCCAATGGCTAATCCACTTAACGTGCACATCCCTGGACAATATGGATCAACGTATCGTGACCAATCCACCTAATCTGCACATCTTTGGTCTGTGGAAAGGAACCAGAGCACCCAGAGGAAATCCACACTGACATGGGAGGAATGTGCAACCTCCACATAGACCGTCACCCAAAGCTGGAATCGAACGCAGATTCCTGGTTCTACGAGGCATCAGCGTTAACCAATGAGCTTTCATATCGCTGTATGCAAGCTTTAATTTTTGTCATTGGGTTGACATCTCCTATGTGTTTTTATTTCTTGTTCTACAATATCAGACCAAAACATTGCTTTAACCATTTTAAATTCAACACTCATTTCATTCTTTTTCTGTTGTAACAGTCCCTGTGGAAATCACTGTCTTGATTTCAAGGTACTTTAATCCGATTTTCAAAGAATAAAAATGGTGCTTCTTCCATTGATCAACCTCATCCCAAACCCTTTGATTTATAAGAAACTGTTTACAGGTATCCAACAACACCAAAAATAACGTGTATTATTTTATGTAGAGAAAGTATCATAGAAAATAATTTTTATTCACGGGAATCTGCAAAAATATAATAAATCAGGATGGAAGCCAAGATCTTAAAAATCGTGAAACATCAAGCAATCTCTATTATGTGGTAGAGACAATTCATCAATTGCAATAAAATGTATGCACTGTTTTGTGCAGTCAGTAATACGATTGTATGGACATGTACATGATCAATGGACTGGCAGAAAAGTTTTACCACTGGGGCTAAGGTTTGAGAAATTTCCTCTGAGACCATGAGATTTACGAATAAGCAGATAGTATTTATTTTTTTCAATGCTGTCAGCCACTAGGATGAATTTTGCCGGGCCTTTTGTAATACTGCATACAAATTACAGTGGAGCATAACTTACACGTCCACCATGTCACAGCGACACTGCACAATGCGGAAAGAGAAGATGTGCCATTTCACTGTGTGATGGATGAGACCATATCATTCAAAATGTACTAAGAAGACAGAATAACTTCTGAGATTTTTTTTTTAGATTAAAGATAAGTGCTAAGTGTTGTGTTCCAGACACAATAAAATTAAAAAGAATGTACTGGCTTCACTGTAACTATATTGAAATACAAAAACCACGACTAATTGACCGTTACAATTTCATAACATTCCATAAACAAACCCTTTTCAAATGCAAATTCAGTAAAATAGATTATCTTACATGCAATTCTAGCAGCAGGAAGAGAGCATTCTCATTTTGCTGTCACAAAGAGAGGAATAAGAGACCGCACATTCAGCATCAAGACCTCCGGCAAAAGCAACTGAAGGCTAAGACTTAAAATAAAATCTTGGCTCTGTGGGAGATTGACTCCATCGATTCAGGCTGCTTCGATTGCCCCAACTTAAAAAAAAAAATCAAGGTTTCATAAGCTGTTCTTTTTTTGGCCTTGGAGCAGACAGTTCTTCTCTTTGTCTCAACCCTTTTCTCCCTTAAAACAAAGGAAGTAGACATCATAAAGTCATCCTATCATCACACTGCTACTTTTAGTGTATTTCGTTTCACGTTGGCCACAGCACATACTATAACAGAACAGAAATCGCTGGAGAAACTCAGTAAATCCGGCAGAAACTCTCGAGAGAAAACAAGTTCTGAAATCACAAGACACGAGGGTATAGTCCGACAAGTTAATTAGAAAACACAAGCTTTCAGAGCCTCCGTACTTCTTTTGGTGTTAGGGGGAAAGGTGGCATCAGACATACGACTTAGAAGTAAAATATAAAAGAGTCACACAACCGATGAAGATGTATTAAACAAATCTAAGATGCACACACACACGTGTAAATCTTTGGGTGAATTTGTACTTGCAGATACATTCTATTTTGTTCAAAAGTCACATAATTTATAGACATTCAGTCAATGTGGCGTTTTATAAATTCCTACTTTAGAACTTAAACCAGTCTGACTCCAAACCAA